ATCTATCTATCTATCTATCATCATCTAGCACAGTCAAGCTTGGCACCTCTCAATGAACTTGTCAATCATCATGTGTTAAAAAGACACCAATATTGCTCCAACAATATACTTGCTGCTTTAACAAACTTTGTGTGATACTAATCTATCATTCCTTCTGGTTTAAACTATGCACAAAATTGCATTTAACTGAATGAAAACTATCTTTGGAAGAAGGTATTGTTTTTTGAGGAGAAACTAAAGAGTTAGGGCTACAGTTTAATTCTCTTCCGTGTTCCTTCTTTCCCCAACCTGGAGGGCTAGCTACATGGGTCATCCTGGTTCTTAAACCATTGCACACGTTACAATTAAGGTAGAAACTCACATTTTTCCTGTTCTTCCTGGAGAAGAAAGGAAACCCTGCAATGCATCTGTCAGATATCAGGCTTTGCATGTACAGGAAAAGCCATAGCTCTGACAGGATAACATTCTCACTTTGGGAATAGCCAGCTTGTCAAGACCGAGTGGGGAAAAATATGAATTTATATCTTAGCTCTAACTGTATTGAAAATCCTGGGACTAATGAAGCACCTAATGAAGGATTTAACTTCTATTGAAACCTTTTTAATAGAACTTGATGTGCATAATTGTGGCTTGTAGATGAAAAAAAAAATAGGCCTATTTAAATTTAGTAGAACTGTGGATACAAAATGGTATTACATCAGTCCAGTTCTTAGTAGGTGTGGCCAGTGAGTTTAGGACTGCAATTTATGCTTCTTAACTAATATACTTTTAAAATCTTTTAATTATCTAACCATGCATCATACCAGCCATATTAATAATGGGAGGAGGGAAGTTAAATAATGGAAACAAAATCTTTCTAAGCACTCATATTTTCACAACCAACACTCAAGAAACATACCAAGCTATTTCTCCTTATGTCTTTAGTTCTCTGAGTAAAGGACACATTTTCTAACCTTTTATTATTAAGAAATGCCATCCATCTTAAAGGGAAGTCTTCATATGGAAGATTTTTCTTGTCAGCCTTACATTCCATAATCAGTGGTTTAGTCAAGTTTCACTTTAAATTGTATTATTTAGAACAGGCTCCTGAATCTGGGGTATCAAGGCAATGAGAAAAGCCAGTCTTATTTGAATAATTATTTGAAATGTTAGTGATTCATGGCATTACAAAGTTGAGACCCCCTTTTTATTAGTGTTCTTTGGATTCACAACATTTTTAGTCCTGCTGAAAGGGCTTTTAATCATTTAAATCATTTTAAAGGGCTAACATGTCAAATTATAATTGGAATCAGGTTTTGCCTAATTTAGCAAAATTAGGCAAATCCCTAACTTTCCCTACTATAGGGTCCACACATGCATTTATTGTTAAACATCAAAGGGTACAATAATGTGTTTCAGTTGAAGGGGAGGGAACTGGACCAGATAAATGGCAGACTGGAAGAGACCAAGCACACTTTAGCTGCTGGCTAACAGTCAACCGAAAAACATGTCTTGAAGATGCTTTTCTCATCAAGAAACAGCAACTGGCTTTCAATGTGGGCCATCTGTATGGTCATGAGTATATGTAATAATTCCACTGAAAAACATTGTGTTTGCAGACTTTTCAATAGCCACTGCTTGGACCTCTAAACAGAAATAAACTATATTTTCAGCCTTAATGACTTTATTCAGTGCCAGATGGAGGGTCACATACAGACATGCATTTGTGCAAATATGTCCACACGTGAACCTACACATTCTTGCATGTATTGACATACATGCCCATACCTTTGGTAATAGGCAGGATATTGGAAGCACAATAAACATATTGAAACAATGCTGCAGCACAAAAGGAGAGACAGACAGAAGTAGTGTAAGATGTGACTTGAAGCTGATTTAGCTGAATCTCCAAATTGACTGATTTTCCAAGCAGAATCAGAAAAGCCAATTGGTAGTCGAATTGTATTAGATACTTTGAAATGAACTTGACTGTTTGATCTTACAAAGCAGTTGGGAAAACCAAGTCATTTTGATTTGAATTATGGTATCAACAATATAACCTAGTAACAGTTTGGCTGGGTAGAGTAGATCTTACATCTGCAAAATGCAGCTTAGAATTCTGAGGAAGCTGTTTTGCACACAACAGTTAGAAGAAACCATCCAAGCATAACTGCGAACCTATATCCCTGAAGGGAAGGTGCAGCCAAAAAACCTGCAAAAAGGATTTTTCTTCCTGATCCACAGAGATTAGATTAGCTGTTTCATATGGGTCAGCCAGCTTCTTCATTCAGTCAAAAGACCTCACCCTTTCTTATGGCCTGCCTGTCCATGGGCAAAACATCCCTAGGAACTTCATTTTTCCCCTCCCCACAGGAGATCTCAAACAAACAATCCTTTTTCTATTCTGTTTTCATTTCATCCATGGCCAGCAGGCTGTAAGAGAGCTGTTCCAGGATATCCGTGGAGAAAAAAAACTTAAACGGGTTGAACAAATTCCCTGGGTCCTGCACAAGCAATGTTGGGTGTTGGTTAAGAATATTTAAGAGCTAAAAATGGCTTGAGGCACTGGAAGGCAGGGATAGGCCAAGATTCAGAGCCTCTGTTAACATTTCTAAAGCTGATTCTTGGAGGATTAATAACTAATATATGACCTATGAAGATGATAAAATCAAATAAACAGCAAAAATATTCTCCCATACTAAGTAGAACCTTTAGTTTCTAATGTAGCTGCCACTATAATTTTGGGAAACCTGCTGTACATTGGTGGGAACAATTGTCTATTGCATTGGGCTATGGCTTGAAAATATCCTGTGCAGTAGGAGAACTGTTTGACTTCATGATGAGCTGAATGTTACTAAAGTTATGCTATTTTAGCATAGATCAGTTCTGCCATGTCAAATGTTTTGACTGCTTCAAAAGGACAGAGTAGCTGAAGAGAAGGTTGACCTTTCTTTTAACCAAGTTGCTTCAGAAGCTCTGTGTTCCAGTTACTAAGGCTTTATTTCAGGGCTAGGTGGTTTGTTGAGTGTGCCACTAGAACTTCTTCATGGTTAAGGCAAATTGCAGCATGGAAATTGATAAATTTCTTATCTTTACAGAGATTAAGACTATATTCTTTCTCTGCGCTGTTACCCACTTCATGGTCATGGCTTGCAAGGCTGCTGACTATGAGTTTTCCAGCTGGAACATCTCAGTGCCTTTTCAAGCCTTCTTCTTTCAGTGGCAGGGCCACCGCAACCCAGTGTGCAAACTGTGCCCTGCACAAGGGTGCCACTTGGGAAGGGGGGCATCACTTGCAAGTAAAAAAACCCAAAAAATCAAAAGCTGCACAGTATGATTATATTGAAAGAGGTAGTCCAAGGAAGAGGAGGAGATGCAATATTTTGAATATTTTTTTAAAAAAAAGTTTGGCGGGGGCATTAAATGGAATTCTGCACAAGGGTGCTCCCAAGCAGCTGGAGGGCGGGAAGAACACATGAGCAACTGTGGTTACATAGGTGCCTCTGAGGATGTAGTTCCTCAGGCCTCTGACAGCTGGGAAAGAAAGAAGGAGGAAGAAGAGGTAGTTGTGGCTGTCCTCTCTCTTGGCCTCCTATGGCCAAGAAAGCTGGTGCTTGGAATAGCAGCAGTCTCTCTCAGGGAATCCAAGGTTTGAAGATCTTGCTCCCCAACAGGAAGAGGAAGTGGCAGAAGTGGAAGATGATAAGGGGATTAAGCACACAGCAGTGGGAGACAGGCTGAAATTTCACAGGTACATGTTCCTTAAAAGAAAGACTAAGGATGTTCCCTGAGCTGAAGGCTTTTTGGGTGCACTGCTACCTGAATTAAAAAAGCTTGGTTGGGGATTTTATATATTTATCCCTCCTCCTCTCTTGGAAGACATTATTCTCGTAAGTTCAAACGGTTTTTGAAATTTCCCTTAATTTGAAAGAAGCTGGCCATGTGATCTAGAGCTCTGCTGTTTAAGGGAAACAAACTGGAACTTCTTTTAGGGACATCTGGGCTAGGGGGGAAGATTAAAATAACCAAGATAGTGGCCAGGACCATGGGCTTAATGCTCTGCCCCTTTTTATGTGTGTCATAAAAGGGGCAGGGCTTTAATTATGAGGTTGCAGCTGCCATCTCTGACTTATCTTGACAGTCCCCCCCAAATGCCTCTGATCTCCTTTGGCTCCTAGCTCTAGTAATGCACTAATTGTTGGAAGCTTCCACTATACTTTTGATCTAGCTCCTTATTCCAGTACCTTTTCAAATGTATTCTGATTAAAATTTTGTATTCCTGTTGTTCCATTATTTTGTTTTCTTCTGGTATGTTTTATTTTTCACAGTTTTTATCAAATTAGTTTTAGAAATCATTTTTATTACTTGTGGTACACATTTTAAGTTCCTTTGGGAGGAAGGGTGAGATAATGACGAGGATTATGATGTAACATCATTCTGCATTACAGGTGTTCTTCCCAAAATAATCCCTCTAACCCATTCTACCAGGCATATATGTATGTTACTGTCTGCTAAAGGCCAGAAAATAGGGTTGGATCTTTAACACTCACCCCCAATCTGGTGTCCTCCAGATGTATTGCATTACATCTATCAGTTTATTGTCATCCAGTGTACCTGGAGGACACCACATTAAGGAAAGCTGGATGCAAGAATTACATCTACAAACTTTGTACACGTTGAAACCATGGTTACAGCATTCAAAAGCCCCAAGTACATCATAGTATTAAATAAAATGCCAAATGGATCCAGCAACCAGTACAGAAATATCATCCATTTCTTTAATTCCTATTCCTTGTGGGTAGAAATTAAGTATTAATTATATATTTAAAGGTATGTCCATATTATTTAAAACTTTTATATAGTGCTTGTGAGAATGGCATATTATACCATTATCATTTTTTGTATGTAAGATTCAACAACATGCTTATTAATCAACTGCTTCAAACAAACTAAACAAAGTTATGCAACACTGTGTAAGTTGTGCTAAGAAAGAAAAAGTGAGCTGTTTCTGAACAGCCTACCTCTCTTGGTCTTCTCCCAAAAATCCCAGGCGGTTGCTGAGCTGGAATTTGGGGATTTGGAATCCCAACATACCTGAGAAATGTACATTTGGAGAAGGTTGGTGCAGAATGTCAGCAGAAAATCTGATTGCTATGCATTTCAGTTTCCACCTTTCTGGAAGTTACCAGTAGAGATGGATGAATCAAAGTTAGGCACCATGACAAAAAATTGTTGCTATTATTAAAACCATTGCCTAGTGTAAAACACCCATAGTAGATTAGTTAGATGAAAAAGGTATGATGATGGAGCCAGCAAGGAGTTCTAGATAGCCTGAGTGTAACATTGGGTTTTGACAATGCATTATTGTCCAGTTAAAACACATTTTGTGCCCAATAAAAATAAAAACTGATTTTTAAAACGTGGATAATCCTAATGTAACAGATCCCAGTATGAGTAACTTTTTAGAAGCTTTAATTTGAGGGCTGAATGGTACCTGTAGGTTTTATTCCATTGCTAGAAGCTGAAATATCTTTTAAAGAACTGGGAATAAAATACATAGTTCTGTAGTGATCTAGGATGTGAGAAGAAGTAGGGTGGGGAGGCACCTTTAGGCATCTATGAAATAACCATTGGTGGAAATAGCCATTCATGGGCTTACCCACAAAAATAAATACTGGAATCAGTTTCACCTCCTTGAGAGTGTATGGCATTGATTGATTGTGGCAGTTCATAATATTGTCTAAAATCTCTTTTCAACACAAGGTTAGAATAAACATTTTAGCTCCCTGAGGCATAAGGTAGAATCCCTGCCAGGAGGCATAGCTAACCTCAGCTCCTTGAAGCAGTCCAAGATCCTGTGGCCAACTGTGGTTTGCAATCTGGAAATCCAGATGTATCAACAGGGTCATACTCCCACTGTCTCTTTCTAGTATAGATCATCTGTCAGGATGATCAAGTCTGCCTAAATGCCAAATATAATACATTTTTTGATCTAAGAGCTCTAGGAGCTCGGGGGCTGTAATCTTTTCCAGCAATATAAGGAATATTGGAGATCAGCTGTTAGTTGTTAGAATTGGCTGGGTTCAGCCTCACCTAGAGTGGTAGAAAATTCAGCCTGCACAAGAAAAGCATTTGATTTGAGAGATTATTAGCAGAATTGGGTTCTTATAGGCCTTAAATGCCAAGCTGGAGGGGTTTGACATATACCTAATGGTGCAGACATATCCAAGAACCATATTCACTTCAGGCAGATCTTAGTAGATAGTGTGGTAGACACTGTAGGTCACAGACTTACACAGAGTTGGAAGGTCCATTTAGGGCACCAAATCCAAACCCTGCTCAGTGGAGGAATCCAAATTCAATTATCCCAGACAGATGGGTGCTAGCTAGCTTGAGCCCATCCAATGAAGAGGAGCTCACCGTCTATCTGGATAAATGGTTGCATGTCAATATTTTAAACTTTATTTACAATACTTACCAATCTAGATATTCCATTGCTAGGAGCTGAAATATCTTAAAGAACTGGGAATAAAATACATAGTTCTGTAGTGATCTAGGATGTGA